CAGAAAGACAAGTGAAGTCAACCGCCTGACCTACTTTCTGTTGAACGATTGTGCTATCACACCTCTTTTTGTCATGGCACATTTACCTACTCTCTATCCTCTAATTTTACTCCCGTCCTAACAGAATCGCTCTACACGAAGTATGTAAAGGGATTTGGTATATAAGTAAAGTAATACCGGATGTATTCACCCTATTTCATTTAAGGTGATGAACTATTGGTACTATAATTTTTCCACAATGATATGAGTAGAGCTGACGTTTCCAAGGCCACTCGTGGCAAAGTTCAAATGCTGCACCGTCACGGTTCGACTCCCGCTGGGGTTGTTGAGGTCGAAACTGCAGTCCATCTCAGCCTGGATGGGAAAACTTTTGGGAAAACGAGGCTGTGTTAAATTCAATGAAAACGTCACCTCTACTCGTGTGATTATGGGAAAATTCGACTACTAGACCTTCATCACCTGACACGAAATAGGGTGACTACATCTCAGATAAGCGATTTAATTTACTTGTCTCTTTGACGGGTTGTTGCTCGGTGCCGAGACTGGCAAGACCCCTTGACCATGCCGGCGAGACTTCTGAGAATGTACCAAGTGTACGGTTCGACGCTGGGAATTATGATAAATACTATGACATAGGACTTTAGACAAGGTGCCTCCAACTAAGTCACCATGTCAACGTGACCAAGTTGCAAAACGAGATCAAACCACTTCTATGCATCGAGTGGAGACTGTGACGAAAATGGAAGCCACAACATCTTGGTTTTCGTAGCCATGACATTATGCTAACCTGTTCTAAAAATGTCGTCCAAACTAGAGAAGTAAGACCAGCTTATTGTCTCCGTAATTAAGTGATATTGTTGCTGCGAGGCCAACGCGCCAATACGAATATGTTGTGTGTGTTTGAGTGTGTTCTTCTGGTGGAGCCGACCAGCGAACCACTTCATCACAAACTTTCATTCGGAATGGAATTGAATTCAGAAATTACAAAATTTCGTGATTGCCTTTAACCAAATATGATGCTATATCTGTTGGTCATGACCAGATGATGGTAACTGAAGTTGCCATGTGCAGCCGGAAAAAGAGGCAATCATTCTATCAAACTCAATTTCAGTCACCCATCACTTCCGATGAAGGTGTGGTTAGAAGTCCTGTTCAACCAGTCAAACATTGAAGCTCAAATCAGACGAAGTGGCGCCAACCGAGAGGCATACTTTCGTGTCGGACAAGGAGAACCCTCAGATTCCCTCCTGATAGTGGGGCACAATCTGACTCGTGATCCAACTCTTCTGCCACGAGAACTTGTACATGAACTGTCCGTGTGATTGGGGGCCTATGCGATCGGCATCGATCCAATTCGAATACCTTTCCGCTCTTCTTCCTCCCACTCCGCATTCACCACTTTCTTCTGCCCACGTTTTGCTTGCCAAAATGATTTTTTTTGGTAGATCCCAGCGAAGTCCTCCTCCGTTCCAGCGTCGGCTGTTCCGGATGGCGGACGAAGCGTCGATCCGGTCTGCCCCCTCCTGGATGGGCCTGATTTGGCCGGACGTCAAGACAAACGGTGCCCACATTCAAAGGCTTGCCTGCGTCTGGCGGCGTTGGCAATAGTGCATAAACTGTGGTATCCACCGTCGTACTGGCTTGGACACGACCGATTCCACTTGCAGAAGAACTGCGGGGCCAGTAAAGGTAAACACAGACTGGCCAGTGCATGCAGACAGGTTGTCAAATGCCAGACGGACAGACAGACAGACGAGTGGATGGGCGAATCGTGCACGCATGTGGCCGAAAGACTCACCTGTGCCCATGTCATGTATCCTGCCGGGAGGGCGGAATGTACCCTCTTTCGGGTACAAACCGGCACGGTCAGTCGGTTATGGACAATGGACGAGGCCAAGTCATCCATGACTTGGGTCATGCCGTCCGAAGGAGCACATGAACTGCACTTTGTCAGACAGGGGGTTGGGTGGGAGAGGAGGGCAAAACGGAAACATCGGCTTCTACAGTTTTCTGTAGAGGGCATAGAGACGAGCAGAGAATTCCTCCGTCTGGCCTTCGTGTAAACTTGCATGTCCAACCCGTCCCCATACTTCCGCACCCCACGCACACCCTCGAGAACATGCGCCAAATGACTCCTCAACGGTCCACATGCGCATGCATTCTCGTGCAAATTGGTCCAAGCACGCAATCACAGAAGAACACACCCACAAAAATATTAATTGCCGCCTGGTTGCTTGCATGGACAGTCGAGTCCCGCGTCAACATTTTGGCTCTCTGTGAGTCTTCTGTCGTTTTCGCTATTACAAAGTCTTGCTCCTCCGTAGAGATTGTTTGCCCATGTCACTTCTGACGAAGGTTCCGTTAAAGGCAGTATGGAATGTGACTTGGGCAAACTGCTCTTTCACTCTGCCAGAACGACCAACGTCTGGTCGGGTAGTGCTGCCACAAGTCAACTCTTCAATATGCCATTTGTGAAGGTCTTTTGGTCTGTCTACGCGGGTACTTGCTCAACTGATACTCTGCCACTAAAGCACATAATATATAAAAACCAGAATGCACCAAGTGGGTCAAACTAAGGAAGCGAAATGGCATGGCCGCGGGGCTTAAAAAAGAACCAACTCCGACTCCAGAACGCAGAAAGTCAGACGTCATTACACTTTCTGTACCATAAGCGGGTTGTCGAGAATAGCAATAGATCAAATACATGAGATTCTTCCACCATTTTTTTTCGTGAGTGAGTAGGTTTTCGAGACTACGCCTAAATACTTTTGCGTATTTAGGCATCGTTTCGAGACATTTGCCCTGTGACCCAAACACACTCGTGGCAATGTGGCCGAGTGGCTAACGTGTCAAGCTCCCATTCTGCACTGACACGGTTCGACTCCCGTTGGGTTTCGTTGATATGAACAATGCAAGGTCGAAACTGCAGTCCACTGGTGCCTGGATGAGAACAACTTTTGGGAAAGCAAGCTTATGTGAAATTCAATGGAAACGTGAGCTCTTTTCATATCATTGTGTGTGAAAATTAGGATAATAGATTTCATACAAGTAAATCAGATATATGAATTATTTTCAAACTTCCTCGTTTAATAGAGGTTATTTGACCTTGTTTTCGCAACATGGTCATATTCGTAGGAAGTCTTAGAGGAATGCACTTAGTCCGGGGTCCATTGTCTGCATGATCATTTCCAAAGTTGAACCGTGGACGTGGGACATTCCCAAACGC